TTCCCAGCTCAGCTTTTTCCTTGCCAGGAAATGTCTCCTACCTTTGAAACTCCTCTCAAGAGATAAAAGATTAGCTTGGTGCTGTCAGGAGCTGTCAATTCAGGCAATTTGAAATGCATCAGCTGACTCTTGGTAGTTTTGCAGCCATCCTGCTTTCCTGTGACTGCTTCATTTCTAGCTGCTTTTGGAAGGGTGTTATGTTTGGTTGATTCTCCCTGATTACCCACACATACTTATTGCTCCTGACTGCTGCTCTCTGGCTGCTTTTTCACTGGTTGTGAAGCTCTTGGTAGCTAGCAGTGCTGCTACGAGGGAGCTTCGTTTGTAGCGTGAGGGCTGGAAGTGTCGAAATTGGATTTCATTGCTCTCTCCTTGCTAACCCAGTCTGTGAGGGTGGAAACAGAGGAAGTAGAAGTTGGTATTGCTGAAAGCAGAGGCAGATGAAAAAAGCAGCTTTTATTGCCCTGAAGATCTGTCCTGTTTGGGTGGGTAGGAAATAAGCAGCAGGAGCTACAGAATTGCATACTCCATACTCTTTGCATACCCTTTGGCTACATCTTTCATTAGGAGCGCTTGCCAACCATCTGCTGAGCACCAATCCAGGCCACCTGTCTGTTCAGTGCTCTCTCCAGATAGGTGCTTGTGCTCTGATCTATTTCTGAGTTAAATATTGCCATCTGAAGTATTCAGGGTCCTAGGCTGCTCCCAGAGAAGACACAGTCTGTCCACTAGAGGCTGGGATCTGTTTCTTTGCACTTTAGATTCAGCTTGTAGCATAAAATCGGTGTGGGAGAGCTAGAAGAGCTCTGGGCAGTAGGAGCATGGCAACTAGGAGGGGCATGGTCCTATTTGACCTCTGCAGTTGCCTCCAAAGTATCCTGTGTGTGAAATTACCAACTCCAGGTCTTGGATAAGCTGCCAACTACTTTTTGGCTTCCTCTTCTATCTCTTAGCCCGTATTTTAACTGACACTGAGCTAGCAAGCAGTTGACCTGTGTACTCTACCTTGGAAGTTCACTGTCCTTGCTAATAATGTAGTTTCTAACAAACTGTTGTTTGAAAGATGTCCCCTTGACAACAAAGTTTCTTGGCAGGGACTGTTATCTCTGGATGGAAGCTAAATGGAGAACTAAATGGAGAGCCTGGAAGATGCCCAAGCACTGAGAGTTGGCCTGTCTGCTATTTCAGACATCTTCAGTGGCAAAGGCAGGCGAGGGTCTGCCCACATCCAGAAATAGCAAGGTCCCCACGTGCTCCTAGGTGGGTGGGGAGGAAAACTCGTGTCACAAAGAGCGTGGTGTTCAAACATTGCCCCTAAGACTTTTGGGGAACCTTTTGTGAAGGCAGCTGATGGATGGAAGAGCAGAGACTGAGTGCTGGACTGTGTGACTGTACCACTCCTGCATCAGCTGTGTGCTGAAAGAGGCCAGATGGAGCAGCAGGGAGGGGAGGCTGGGGAGCGCGGCCATGCAGCAGCCTGGGAAGTGGGGTGGGCAGATCAAAGCAAGGAGCTGGAGGAGGTCAGAGTGGGATAATCCTCTAACAGCATGAAGGCTGCAGCTGTTGGTGTTACAGCATGGCATTACTGAGGTTTTCTGCTGCAGCAGGAATTTGCCAGCCTTGAGCACTGAGTGAAGGGGAGTGTGTCAGTCTTCCTTCCTTTGGTCAGTGCCCCCAGAGGATGTTCTGGGGCATTCAGCTGGAGGAGCCCAGATGTGTGAAGAGTTCTTGTTGGAACCTTGTCCAGCATGGAGTGCATTTGTAAGACCTATCTATGACATAGCTTGAAGGAAGGATGTGCTGCAATTCCTGCGCTTGATTTCCACTTTTGTCCCCCTTTGCACCAAATTGTAGCACTCTGTCTAGTCTGAATGCTTGTTTCCCTGTGCTGCAGTGAGGCAAACAGGGCAGCTGAATGGGAGCCTCTTTCTCCAGTTCTCAGTGGGTTTTCTAGCTGCACCAGTGTAAGCATGCTTTGCTGCTCTTCTGCACTGAGCCTGCAAAGAGTTTGTCTGGGTCGAAGATGTGTGAAGGGATATTAGAAAACTCAGCAGAATTGCTGGTGTGAAAGGGACACCTAGAAGGTCACAGCAACACAATGACCATTAGATCTCAGGAAAAGGTGCCCTTCATCTCTCTCCTGCAGAGAAGGGAGCTTGCTGTCCTGGAAGGTATACGCCCTGCTCTTGCCATCCCTTCAGCTGCAGGCAGATCTGTTTTTGGCATGTTTTCCTAGGATATCACTGTCCGAGGGAATAGCAGGTAGGGTTCCTCTGTCTCCTTTCTAGCAGTGCCACCCCTACACTCACTCAGTTTTTACCAAGTACATCTGTAGAGAGCTGGTGCCAGTCATCCAGGGTAGAGCTCACAGGGAAGAGCAGTGAGCTGGTTTGCTAAACCTGAAACACTCAGAAGCTATGAGTTGGATTCTAAAAATAAAAGCTCCTGCTGTATTTTTATTTCTGTTCTCTTTTTTTTCAGCTTTTTAAATCTTTCTGAGCCTCGTCGCCTTCAGGGTATTTTTGGTTATTTGCAGCTGTGATGGATAGAAATTGCTCTTTTTTTTTCTCCATAAATTTAAGCTGAGACTTTTGCCCAGTCTTATGGCTCCGGAAACTGGGGTCTTCAGCAAAAAGATAGAAGCAAAAGGCCAGTAACAGCTGTTAATTGACAAATGGTGGGGACTGAAAACTTATGAAGCACCTCCAGTACAGCTTTGCTTAGTGCCAGGGCATGAACACAATGTAAGGGTGTATCTATGGCTCAGTTTGGAAGCTTTGGAAGGCACAGGTCTGGAGGTGTCTGTTAGCTTGGTGCATGGAGGTGGTGGATGAGAATGGATCTTCTGCATCACAGCCAAAAATAGTTTGAAGCAAAATATAACCAAGATTACTGCCCAGCTGCCAGGGACTCTTGATAGCTATCATCACAAAAATTCAGGGATGTCTCCTTTTTCTTCTCTTTGTTCACTGGAAAGTTTGAGATGTGTCTAAAACTGTGCCAGCAGTTCTGTGTGAACGAACTTGGGATGCGCTGGAGCAGGCAGATCAAATAGCTATGAAGGGTGTGAATAAGCTCTGGGAAAGAGCAAGCAGGCGGTTTGTTTAATGTTTGCTTCCCTGTGTTTGTGTGAGTCACAGAGCTGGCGGTGGTCCTGCTTTCACCTCGCAGAGAGCAGAAGTAGGTGCGTAAGAGCTACACGCTAATTTGCTGAAAATAGCTGAAAGCCAGGCTCTTCAGATACTCACTAGAGATTGCAGCTCCTCCATCTATTGATTCTTTCTCTTCCCTCTTCATCTTACAAGCTTTTAAATGATGATAAAACAGGGGAAGAGCATGCGTGCAGCATGTGGTGTGTGGCTTTCTGCCCCAGCCCGTGCCTGGATGGATGGTGTGTGCGTGTGACCTTGGCCACAAAGGACTGCAGGATGTTGTGTGGAATGGTGTGGGGAAGCAGACATTGCAGCAAGGGAGGAGGTGAAAATGTCTTTCCTGTTATCCTGGGGGTTGCTGGCACGTTATGCTGTTGCCACAGCAGCATCACACACCAGCACTGCCCTCAGCAGGTGAGAGGTTTCATACCTAAGCTGATGCAGCTGGGCTGTGCTCCTGTCCTTCTCAAGTGGAGGGGGCAAAATACCAATTGGGTGCCTTGCAATTCTGCCAGCTCATAAGTGCATTCTTGTTTCTGATTTTAATCAAAAGCAATGTTAAATGTTATGCTTTCATTAAAGCTTTGGCTTTTGGAGTCAACATGGGATGTTGTGAGAATCCTCTTTTTGCTCTCTGAGCAGAGGAAGTGCAGACTGGTAGCTTGTAGCCTGGAAGCAAAGGCAGCAAGGAACCCTGTGTTTTTTGTGTGCTCCCATGGGCCAAGTCTGTACTTGAGCTCCTGCTGCAGGCTTCAAACGCAATATTGCCAGAGCTGCCTCTGATCTACCTGGCTGCGTGTTGAGAAAAGCTAAAAGAATGCTTTGGCTTGTAGGGAGCACAGGGTGATGGGCATGGAGGCAGCTCAGCTCAGCTGGGCAGAAGGGATAGTGGGAATGGCTGCAGTCCCTCAGGCTGCTGGTGTGGGGAATGCAGCTGTGGTATGGGACTCTCTAAGCCAGAGCTGTTTACATGCTGAGCATCTAAAGCAGGCAAGAGTCAGCCATCCCCCAGCATTTGTCCTTCATTCAATCAAGCGATTGCTTCTTAGCAGTGCAGGCTCCCCTGAAGCCTGATTCCTGTATTTTCTCCTTGCCTCAAGCAATCTTTGCTTCACTTGTTTCCATATTTGTTTCTATTTTTTACGTAAACTGTGGTCTTAGGCCTATGAGCTGAAATATGCTTCTGAACTGCTGCAATTTTGCTTAAAACTCAGTGTTCAACAATTGTTCCTCAGGGAATCTGCAGACTGGGGGGGCATGTGAAGGCACTGTTTGCTCTGGTCACTTTATTTGCGTCTTCTGGTTCCTCTGCTACTTGGCACACGTGGGCCTCCCCTCAGAGACCTTTGTGTCCCTGCTACCTGACCTCCACAAAGAAGGGGGCTGTAGACTATCCTTTCCACCCATCCTCCTTGCAGCAGGAGAGCTGCTACTCGTTGTGTCTGACTGCTGGACTGGGCTGACACAAGGCCTGCACAATACTCCTTTTCTTCTAACTAGGTTGGAATTAAAAAATAAAATGAAATAAAATTTGGAGATTCAGAGTTATCCATCCACATCCCTGTTTTCTAGACTGCAGACCAAAGAAGGGATGGGGTGGGGAACAGCATGACAAGGCACCCTGCACTGTGCCCTGGAGCATCAACGAAGCTATGCCATCTGGAGTGCTGTCTGGGGTGATATTCCAACACTTGGAAAGCTGTTCTGTTCCTTGAAATGGGCTCATCTGGACTGCATCTGATAATTGCTTCTGTTGAGCCAGGAAGAGAGACATCCGTGCAGTATCTCCCTTGAGATCCTCTGAGCAGCATTTCTAGGACAGGATCATTCTGGGATGTGTCTTCTAATGAGAAACATGTTTGTGTCATTCACAAAGGTTTCAGCTGGCTTACACCTAACAGGTGGGTGTAACAACAGCTATTTAAATGCAGCTTCAGAAGTGTTTGTAGGCAACACAGCATCCCTTGCGGGCTGCTTGCTACAGTGCATGCAGTGGCAGCTTTCCACATTGCTGTAACTAGTCTACAATTCCTGTGGACCCAGAGGTTATTTGGTTTTGTTCTGTTTGTGCTCTCTCATCCCGGATGTGTTATGCACTGCCAGATATTCATAGAATCATAGAATGGCCTGGGTTGAAAAGGACCACAATGATCATCTGGTTTCAACCCCTCTGCTATGTGCAGGGTTGCCAACCATTAGAACAGACTGCTCAGAGCCATATCCAGACTGGCCTTGAATGCCTCCAGGGATGGGGCCTCCACAACCACCTTGGGCAACCTGTTCCAGTGCGTCACTCTCTGTTACAGCAGACGCATCCAAGGCTGCAGTAAGTGCACCCACTGTTCAGGATATGTCCCCTCACTTGCCCATAGCTCAGCTGACACATGAGCCATCAGCATTGCATATGAAGTCTTGCTTTATTTAACCTCCTTGCCATTTCTGAAAAGCACTGCTCACAGCAGAGGGTCTGTATGTTAAATCGCCGAGGAGTCACACTGACAAAACAGTAATAAAATGTCTTTCAGTAGGGAGCTAGTTCAGGCTTCTAAGTGCTTCTGCTATTTAGCTCCAAATTTATTTAGTTCAGAATTTTTTATCGACTGGATTAAAGCATGCAGAAGTGCTTTACAAGGACGGTGTTTTTTTTTCTTCTTAATGCTGCTTTTCTCTTCACTGTCTCTGGGTGGGCTCTCATTTATCGTCCTGAAACAGCTCTAAAGCCTCATTGCTGCTCCTCAGATGGATAGCATGGATGGATGAATGTTCATTCTTAGGTGACCTTCTCTGGTTACTCTTGACATATTCTCTCTGCTCTGAGGATGAAAATAAATAAGGGGAAGTGATTAGTTAAGTGTTAGAAACATCTTCTAGGGATGTTTCTGACTGAACACTGAGGCTTTCTTTATTGAGTGAAGTACCTGCAGGTGAACCACTCCTTGGCACAAGCACGACTGTGTGCCTGCTGTGTTTGCTTGCTTTTAGAAAACCTGAATTCGGAACTAAATTTACCTGTGATTATTCATTTGAAGCAATGCTCCTTCTGTAACTTATTAAAATGCATTAGCAAGGAATGTGTAACGGTGCTTCTATAAACAGCAATTGTTCTGCTTTGAAGCCGCGATGCACGTTGTCTGTGCTGTTCTGCTGCTGTGCGAAGTGGCCTAAATGCTCGAAGAGAAATGACACAAAAGGAGCACAGATGGCTTGGGAAAAACGCTGGCCTTTCCCCTCGATCATCACAGGCTGGAAATCTGGCATTAAATAGGATTTGTAGGCAGGTTTGCTGTCTGTCTTCTGGCTTATCTGCGCTTGAACTTGCGTCTTGCTTGCACTCTGTGTGCTGAGTGCTGCCATGGGACTTCTAACACTGGATAAAAATCAACCACCAAATGTGTTGTGATAGGAGATAGCCTGATGCTATAGGTCTCATCCTCTCCCGTGTTGCGATAATTGCGTCAGTGCTGCCTTTCTCTTCGCTATAAACCCCGGCAGGTGGCAGGGGGAGATGTCTGTCTGCCTGAACGTGGCTTCATCCCTTACCCGAACTGCAGCGTGAAAACTCCGCCGCCTTTTGTTATTCGGCGGTCCTTTTTCTCTTTGCTCCCAACCCACAGCCCGCCTCGCTGGTGCGTTTGTGCCATCTGCTGACCGCAGCGGTGACTGCACGCACCGGCCTTGCCGGATTTTTTCCCCGCTCTAGGGATTTCATTCATGGAAGAATGAGTGTCAGTATCAACGGGGAATGTTTTCTGCCTTCTTGCTAAGGTGGCTGGGGAACTAGCAGTAAAGTTTGAAATGGGGTTTGAACCTCAACGTTACTGTTTCAAGAGCTAGATGTAGAGCAGGATGCATGAGGCTTGGGAAAGGAAGATGTTTATTGGCATCAGGATTTCAAAGCCATCTTTCTGAGAAGGGGCAAAACAGCGTTTCTTCCTGAAACACAAAGCTCTGTTGGATAGTTTTTTGCTTACTTTCAGAGCACTCAGTATAATGTGGGTAGGGGAAACAGTGGTTTACCAATTGTGCATTACAGGGTCGTTCTCATGGTGCCTCATCTGTAGGCAGAGAATGCCTGAGCACAAGCAAACATTGCCCCTTTGGGGATCAACGCTTTGGCCCCCTTCTGGGCTATGCCTGTGGGGAAAGGTTGGCTGATGTCAGAGCTTAGCATAGAGATGCCCCAGGACCTATTCAATGAGAGATCTGCCCCTGGTAGAGAAGCAAACCTAGGAGTTTTTGTTCTGCCTGATGGCAGCACGCCTCCTGGTGGGTTGTTCTGTGAGCCAGGGAATGCAGAGCAGCGTGTGTGTGTGTGTGGGGGGGGGGTGGTAGGAGAGCTTCCTGGGGCCTCGGGTCTGCAAGGAGAAGCAGGTCCTTCCTTTGTACTGCTCAGGGCTGCAAAGAGATATGACATTCCCTCTGCCAAACCCTTCCCAGAATGCAGCCAGAAACAAACAAGTAGGATTGTGCTCAGATGTTCTGTAGGCATCAGCTGTGCGGCAGCTTTGTCTGACTCCAGGGACAAGCATCCTTGTTAAAGAGCCAGCTTGCACCCTCGTGTTTCTGCCTTCAGCCTTGTGCGATTAATTCTATTGACTGTGTTAGCAAATTTAAGAGGTCTATAATCTCCTTTGTTTGTCCATTAATCGTGGGCCGGGGGGCCAGCTGCCAGTGGGAAGCCTGCAAGGACAGCATTAGTTTTTGCTTTCTGTGTAGCAGGATGGGAAGGATGCAGGCAGTATCTGTTCCTGTTGTATTGGCTGGGAATGCTTGCATGCAAAGGGTAGCAAACCTTGTGATACGTCCATGGGGGAATTTTACAAAGTATTTTCACAGTAGCATTTGTGAAATATATGTGAGATACTGTAAAATATAGGTGAGATCTCTAGCTACTTTCACATGAAAAGGTCAGCGTTCTCCGTGTTCTTGACTTCTGAGGATAAGTTCTTTATCAGCACTGTGAACAAAGCTTTGTAGCATTTTTTGTTACTGCTACAGATACATTAGGGAATTTGTGGATTAAAATTAAAATGATGAACTGTGTAGGAGAATAAAGAATATGGTTTAATTTTGAGAGAAGCAACAGTTCTTCTAGGACAAAATATAACATAGATAGAGTGTTTTTCCTTGAGGCTTACTACTGGAGTAATGTGGAGAGTGTAAACAGCATTTATTTTCCTTGCATTTTCAGGGGAAATCTGAGTGGAACAACTGAAAGTATAAGAATCTTTGGTTTGAATTTGGAAAGCGAGCTGCCTTTCTTCTGTTTTCCTTGCAAAAAATGCCTGAAGAAGATGATATTTAAGGATCTCACTGGTATTGTGCGAGCTGCCTTCATGAATGTTTGAATTGAGGAAACAGCCTCCTAAAACTGGGGGGATTGGTGAATGGGATCCCACTCCACTGAGCTGGTCAGAGACACCTGGCTGAAGCAGCCCTGACAGGAGGTGGTGTCTGAAGAATTTGCTTTGATTGTCATCAGCTTCCCACTTCCAGAGGAGGTTTAGGTTGGATATTAGGAGAAACTTTTTCTCTCAGAGGGTGGTCAGGCACTGGAATGGCCTGCCCAGGGAGGTGGTGGAGTCGCCATCCCTGGCAGTGTTCAAGAGGCGCCTGGATGAGGAGCTACGAGAGATGGTTTAGTAGCTTGTGGCACTGATAGGAATGGGAGGGTGGTTGGACTGGATGATCTTGCAGGTCGTTTCCAACCTTGTGATTCTGTGATTCTGTGATTTGCTCCAATTTTCCCAGCTTCTGGGCTTCCTGGACTGGCTGTGCTGCTAAGAGATCCTTGCCAGCGGCTCAGATGTATTTGGCTTGTCTGTCTTGTTGTTTTCCACTTTTGGTTAAAAGTTGTGTAAAAGGAGCCAGGCCAGGGATGGATTCATGGAGTCCAGGGGCTGCACAGTGGATTTGGTTCATGTCTTCTCCACCAGCTTCCTCTGGAGGGCTTTTGAAGGCATCTGCTTTCCATCTGCACTTGGAGGAAGGAGCTCCGCTCTGCCCCGAGTTTTTATAGGGGCTGTGTGATTTCCTGGAGTCCTCCTTTGTTTCCCCCTCTACTGACCTATCCCATGGTGTACAGCTAAATGCATCTAATGAAAATTATTGAAAGGAGTGCAGTTGTGATCATGTCACTTTCCCCAGGAGCTAAATGTGATGGATTTCAAGAGAGAATCCAGAACAGCAGATTAAATTACAGCTGTGGTTATCTGTCCACCTTTTTATGGCTACTTGTTGATGTGCACACCCCATATGTAAGTTCTAGATTGGCTGTGTAATTACTGAAGAGTTTTTGAGTCAAGGACAAACCTGATGCTCTGTGACAAGGTAGAGCTGTGGTTACAGAAAAGCAGGCACTGAGGATGGGCAACATTGGTTCAGGCTCAGTTCATAAGGAATGGTGCTGTGATCTCAGTGCATTTGTGGTGGAGGCTCTTGCGTTATTTACAGGACATGAGGGTGTGATGGCATTTCTCTGGGCGTAGCCCACTGCCTGGCACCAGCGTTTAAAGTGTTGTAGAAACTTAGCCTGCTCAGGACAGGCAACCAAATACCAGACAGCAGCTAAGAAAAGCATCCCAGAGGAACCTAAAGTGCTTTTGCAACCTTGGAGTCAAGTTCTGCTCGACCTGTACGCATGCTGCTCTTAGTGGTTTGCACACCAGGTTAGGCAGGGAGGGCCCTGCTGGTGGCCAGAGCCACGTGTCATCAGCTGGCAGCTAGAGCTGACTCAGTGGATCAGGAAGAGCTGAGGACTCTTCTCTCCATAGCCTTCCCCTGTCCTACTTGCTCTGTTCTTTTCCAGTGTCACCAATGCCCTTTGTAAAGCGGTGGGAGCAGCGTTGGCTTCTTTGGGTGGAATATCCTGCAGGGAAACTGAATGGTGGGGAGAAGTGCT